AAAAGATTACTATCATGAATCAATATTCTTCTCAACTGAAACAATGGAAAAAGCTTAACCATTACAGTGATCTTGATCTTGATGTGTCCGGTGGGATAGCCACAGTGGCCTTACACAAATCTCTCTTATTCTATTGTTTATATTTGTCATTCATGATGATAATATCATATTGAAACGACGAAATTTGCAACCCAGGGGAAAAAAGGGACAGAAGAGAGTAATCGCTTCAATAGCAGGAAGGACGTCTACCGCCACTGGGCAATACCTTCCTCATAGAACACCGATATTTTACAACATCGACGCAGCGATTACAAGGAATTAGAGAAAAATAAATGGACGCTAAGAAATCCTATCCTGAAATTTTAAACATTTTTTAAATCAAATTTTATTGTGAATAGTAATATCCGAAAAAGATGCAAGATGTTTTTGTTTCAATTCGATGAAAATATTCTGAGGAAAAAACCCTAACTAAAACATAAACAGACCTGTGAAGAAGAACGATATCAATGATTAGTTATTATTGTTGTTGCTGTTGATACTGAAAACGATTATAATTACAATAAATTTTGTTTTGTTAGTAGAGCCAATATCATACTAAAATGGAAAGAAAAAGTGATACAAAAAAGAAAAAAAAAATTATATTATATATAAACTTATATTCTAATATCACTGATCATTGTCTAATCATTCTCTATCAACGAAAATACAACATTAGTAGAAGCAATAATCAGTACTTACTTGTTATATTGTTGATATTGAAATGAAGATACAAGAGGATACTACCATGTTTATTTAGGATGAAGATGGAAATGGACTTTGTATCATCTTGTTTATTGCAAATAATCATATCTTTTTCAGAATATTTGTATCTTCCGATTTTACTAAATAAGTCCTAAGAACGTGCCACTATGTTAACATAAAATTTCAACAACAACATTCTTTCCCACATTTCTTTTTTACAGATTAGACAATCAGAGAAACATTCAATGTGGGCAAAGATGCCATCGCACCATTCTATCTTTGTTCAATGATAATGAATCAAAATATATACAATCAACAAACAAGAACAACAACAATGCTTTTATTTGATACTGATCTTTTTTTAATTTTATCTTCTTGAATCTAAATCCAATAAATAAAAATTAGGAAAAAAAACTTTTGAGTTGATCTATTCAAAAATCTTATTGAACATTGTAATCTAATTTTGTTTTGATTTAATTTATTTTAATTTATTAATGTGTACCAATAAACTGACTACATGAACAATTATTTTCGAATCTTATTTTATTTTATATTACATTATGTGAGCTAGGGATCAATTCATGAAGAGAATCAATGAATAATTTCTCTTTATTTCAGTTGTTTTCAGTTCATTTTATTCGCTTTAGTTTTCATTCCTTGTATTCATGTATTCACATATTTTAAACGCATTTGATTTATTCAAACTCTTTATTTTATTGATTTCCTTTCTTTCAAGGCTATCAATTCCATTTTTTTCCTTTCTCCATACATTTCATAAGACGAAAAAAATCAAAAATCAAACAGCATCAAACATTTGAAATAATTTTCTCACAGATGCCGTTACTAAATGGCATACAAAATCAGTGTATCCATCTATTCTAGCAGACTTATTTAACTCTTCATTTGATCATAAAATCATCCATAAACGAATAATTCATCAAAAAGAAATATAAAGTCAAAAAAAAAAGCATAACCTTCAACAAACACTAACAACAAAACATTCAATAGAGATTCCATCATCATCGACTGAAAAACTTTCAAATTGACCGATATTATATCATGTCTAAAAATGTTAAGAAACATTAGCAACACTAAAAACAACATGTTAAAAAACTGCACAAAAATTTTTCTGAACACGTGATCCATTAAAAATATATAAAAACCCTTACAGCTTGAGAATGAAAGGCCGCACTGAAAAGCTGGCGCTACAAGAACCTCCGAGTTTTTCGGGATCTACCAGATGAAAAAATCAAAACATCGAAAAACCTTAAACTAATGAACCGACATCCAGTACTTTTGAAAGAATTCCAAGTTTATTTTATTGTAGTAATCGGAAAGATTGAAAAATTCGTAAAATTAGCTAAGAACACATGGAAATGTTTGTAGAATCGATAGGAAGTCGAAATAAAATAAAATCATGTATATGGGCCTTTGTAAGGTTTAAGGAAGAATCTTTGGAATCGCAGTGGTATATCTCAAAATAATTGCACTATTCGATATTCTGATATGTATATATTGTAAAAGCAGAAACATTTCTCTATCGATTGATACCAAACACAAGGCATCTAGGTGTGGGTGCGGCGAAAGGAGTAAGCTTAAGTGAGAACAGTGCCATTGACAACAAAGTGAGGGTGTGGGTGTGAATGATTTAAAGTAAAATCGATCACTAGTTAGCAAGACGCGTTCCGATTACCGCTACAGTAATCCTTTTCAATTGCTTATGATTAAAGGATGTTATAAGTCTAACTCTCCTACTTTGAATAAAAACAGAAGTTTATGAGAAAACTCCCAAGCTGATAATCATCATAATATACTATCATTCGAAAGGGTGTTGGTGTGAGTGATTGACGAAGAATAACCCACACCTACACCCACTCCCACACCGATCCACCCCACACCCATCAACATGAGTTAGAACACCTACACAAAATCAACTCAGATGATTGGTATATAATTTCGAAGGGTTTACAATGCTACCGACTACCTTTGTACGAACTGCTTCACACAACGACGTATCAAACAGTAGTAAGCAAATCTGTTTGGTACATTCTTCGAATCACTCATTCTGAGGAACTGAATAAAAGGCTGTTAGCGTAATCCCTGCATGATTAAAATGTGAAACACGATGTAGTTGCTGTTGCTAATCACATGAAAGTTGTTTTATTCGATCTATTTAGAGACACATTTCTTACTCATCCTTTACTAAATCCTATAAAAATGCAATAAGGAACTAGTTCATATATAATAGGGTGTATCCATGGGAAATCGCCAGTCGATCTGACGACCACGTCCAAATCCAATGAAACTTTCAGAGTTTCTAGAGCTTTTTGCGCTGATCATTTTGGTAAAAAACATTTTAGAATGAGACCTTGTTTTTGCCAAGATACATGTCAAATACTATTAGCACTTTTTCTAGTTTTTTGCAAAAACTAATGCGACATTTAACAGAAAAACCGATGAAAGTGCACCATTCTTCACTCGAATTTTGAAACCAATGACATATTCGGAATCCTCATGAGAAACTGCATTAGAATCTAAAGTAATCAAAAACTTTTTCATGGCTTTGTGTGCGTTCCTTGTGCTGGCTTAGTGGAGATGATTGTTTAAAAAAATCAATGAGAAAGTTGTAATGAACGAGAAATGTGACATATGCAGTTCGATAGAGCATCACTTGCTCTACAACGTGGCTTATTTAGTTCCCCCCCCCCCGCCCCGTTCGATTTTGCAAGCAGCGGTTGTCAAGAACATTTTATATAGCAATTTCTCAGAATTTTTTCATATTTTGACTATGAAAAGTTGACTGTAATGCAAAATAAACATGATATTCGGAATCAAAAAACTGCATCGAACAGCTTATGTTGTAGCAAAATATTTTTTCTACCAAAATTTGACCCGTACTTCCCCTCAGCATCGTTTTTCTGAATTTCGACCTGAGGTACTTACTTCAACACTGCTTTTAGGTCGCGTTTCACAAAAAAAATCTAAAGTAAAAATGAAAAATTATTAATAACTAAAGAGAGAAAGCACTCTACAATGCTTATCCATTTCAACTAGATTGTTCTAGCTACTAATGTGCAAATAAAAAAATACTAACTAATTCATATATATGATATGTTTCTATACACATAATAATATCAAATGAATCGATGAAACGTGGGCAACGAAGGTGATAAATAGGTCAACAATGAAGTTTGAATCTATTGTAAACATTATTATTGTCAGACACCTAATTGCAACTATTTAAACAGACTTTTGTAACTGAAAGTTTGGGGAGCATCAGAATTGTTGTTCTCATCAAGCAGGAAAAAGAACGAAACCAGATGTTCAAAATGACTGCAGATAGAATAGAAATGACGAGTTACAGATTTTGTGACTTTGAGAGCTGTGACTTGCATAACTTATGCATCGAAAAACGAACAAATGATCGTATAGAGCATTGGAACACTTTTTCGTGCCATTGTTTATGTGCTTCATTTTTTCAAATATGAAATCAAGTATTCTCAAGGGCATTGCCAAATTCAAGAAAATAAGCGCCTAATAAAATCTGTCAATATTTTTCTCTCGAAATCATCGGAATAAAACCATAATATCGTAATTCAGTGGCCAGACCAAACTTACTTTGAGTTCAAAGTTTTCTTAGCTCTGACCAAGATTTCATAAGAGTTGTCAAGCTGAAGAACGAGCAAATCACTCTTCCTTGGCTTCAGAAAAAATCACATCTACAATAAAAGCTGATACAAGATTTCATTTTCATTTCAAAAATTATTGTGTTCCTTTTAAAGCTCAATGTTCAAAAAGTTAAGGCATTTAGTATCTATATAATGTCGAAGTAAAATCGATTGGAACTTGTAGTACCAGAGCCACCTAGATTCAGCCAGAATGAAATTGTATATTTGCTACCGACTGATGCTGAAAATGATTGACCGAGGAAATCAATACCAGAACTGGCCGCGCAGCTATCTGCAAAGCAATTGCCAGTCGACAAATAGCAGACGTTGCCGGAAGTGATGTTTACTGAAGATGTGCTGCATGTACTCCTACAAAACTGCTCCCAACCTGTTGGTGCGGTTGAAGAGTTCTCGAAGCCACCATTTTGTAGCAGTTCAGTACTTGACGCATTAATACTCACCACAGATACTTTGTCTAGATAGTATACACGATTATTTTCATTCTGAAACCCAAAAAGTAGCATGGGTGCTGTACTAGTTGCTGTATAGTTAAATCGATATTGGGTCCACCCATTGGGATTATTCCCCGATTCACTTGAAACAGTTCCATGACCGGTTGATGAACAATTGAGCGCTGTGAAATTTTAAAGAGTCAAGAACATTTGTATAGTCATGTTTACATACCCCTCTGAGTGGTCGTTGTTGTTGTGGTTGTAGTTGATGTTGTTGTTGTTGTCGCCGATGTACTGCTGGTAGTCGAAGTTGTACTGGTTGATGTTGATGTAGTTGTTTCGGACGTAGTACTAGTGCTTGAAGTACTGCTCGTTGTAGATGTTGTGGCTGTTGTTTCGGTCGTCGTGCTAGTAGTTGATGTAGTGCTGGTTGTTGTTGTTGTAGTTGTCTCTGAAGTAGTGCTGGTAGTCGAAGTAGAGCTGGTGCTGGATGTTGTTGTAGTTGTTTCCGACGTTGTACTGGTAGTCGAACTAGTGCTGGTTGACGTCGTTGTTGTTGTTTCGGATGTGGTGCTAGATGTTGTTGTTGTTGTTTCCGAAGTAGTGCTGGTGGTTGAAGTAGTACTGGTGCTGGATGTCGTTGTTGTTGTTTCCGAAGTAGTGCTGGTAGTTGAAGTAGAGCTGGTGCTGGATGTTGTTGTTGTTGTTTCTGACGTTGTACTAGTAGTCGAACTAGTGCTAGTTGACGTCGTTGTTGTTGTTTCGGATGTGGTGCTGGATGTTGTTGTTGTTGTTTCCGAAGTAGTGCTGGTAGTTGAAGTGCTACTCGTGCTGGATGTCGTTGTTGTGGTCTCCGATGTTGTGCTGGCAGATGAAGTAGAGCTTGTGCTGGATGATGTTGTTGTTGTCGTTGATGTTGTTGTGGTAGTTGATGTGGTACTAGTAGTCGAAGTAGTGCCTACGGAGGAAGCTCGGTTATATCTTTTTGTTGTCATGAATACTCGGTTGTAACTATGGATGCAGTTACTCTATTAGAATTAGATGCATATTTTCGCGGTTTCGAAGCGCAATTGTGTTTCACTGTGTGAACGTAATGCGAGAATGCAAAGTCTCAGCTGAGGTCTTGCGGAGAAAATACAGCAGCGTACTTTTGTCAAATGCTATGTACCTGCTTTTATGTCCAATCTGACTTGGGAGGGAACCAGTGCTAATATTTCGCATGTTTCAGTCTTGTCTGTTACTTCTAAGTAGGAGATCTGTAGATGTGAAAGACCAACGTCAATATGAACCTATGGTGCGATTCGCCTGAAATATCGAAACTTTACTCCAATTTTCCCTGTAAGGCTTCGATGTTTATAGTAAAATTATTGTTGTCAATGTTAAACTGACATTTTATCTGCATTCACACCTTAACTAGACTATCTTGTGCAAAATCATTCACAAGTTTTTGGATCTAACATTTCTGAGCTTAGATTTTCGAAAACGAAAATACTTGCTCGTCGGTATTGTTCTTCTATTTCTTATACGAGGTATTTCAGTGACGCTGTTGATCAGAAAAATGTTTTCAAGATGGAATTTGAAAAATTAATTCTGTTAAAACAGTTGAAATTCGGAAAGAAAATTTTCGACAAAGCTTCTATGTTGCAGTCGAAACGTAACATGGACTCGTATATTGTTGGGTTTTTCTGTCTTATAGATCCGTTACTTATGGGCGAAATATGGGGCCCAATCTTTACATTATTAAAAAGAATGGATCTCTCCTTAGCCTTGTTACTTCTCGCCAAAATAACATTTGCGTACGACCAAGGAAACCTTTAAAAATCAGCTTGTTGTCGTCTTTGCGTCAACATGAGAAAAAGTGTCGCAAGGCTCGTCAGGAAGCTTTTCCTAGAATTTGATAAACACTATTTGTAGAGGAATGCCCTTTTCAATAATTTCATTATTAGTTTTAGGAATTTCAAAGACTGAAGTTTTATACTTCTTTCAAGGTTCCTTGCCCAGGCATTTATCATTGTAAGCAATACAATTGCAGAATCGAAGTTTCTCGTGCTTTTTTATGCTCTGAAAACTGTGCATTCCATATCTGTCATAAAATACTTGAGAGAAACGACCAATTCATTTATCATTTGCATTTAAGAAATAAGCTCAGTCTGGTTATAGAACTTTGAGGGCATGGTAAATTCCAATTTTCAGGAAATTCAAAGATTAATCATATGCTGGAAAACTAACTTGCAATAGTCATGAAAATTATTGCCACTATACAAATTCAGTCAGAAAATTCATTTGATTATGAAAGTCTAAAGATAAATGGAAATGATATGTATATTTTTTTGGGTTGGCTTGGCTCGGAAAATTCATCTTTATAGTAAGTCTTCACCAATAGTCAGTATTTTTTTCGCGGGCTAGTTTCCTACAATGTGAACGAAATTTAGAGAGTCTAAATACCAGTGTCCCGCTCTAATTCTTTCATCTATGCAAAGTCATTGTGGTTGTTTACATGCAACGAAATAGTCGAGATGACGAGACAGACAAAAGAAGACGATGTTGAAAATATCACACGAATGCGTCATGAAACGCAGAAGATTTTTTATTACTTTATTCACAAAAACAAGAGAGATTCAATCAATATTTTCACGCGCAATGGGTCTTCTGAAGTAACTCATACTTTGTACAATATCCTGTATTCACTGCCCGACCGTAGACCTTCCGCGACACCCACAATTAGTACGATGCCCTCTATATCTGCCTTGGTGGCAGACCTTCCGCGGCACCTGCACTTAGTATAATACCTTTTATGGGTGACCATAACAGAAGAAATGCAGAGAGAGGTAATTGATGCGTATGCAAAGGTAAGTCTGTGTAAAGCCACAAATAAGACTACTTCGAATCGACACGATGTTTATTTTAAAAGAAATTATTTGATGATCTGGAACGTTTAGTCGGCGAATGAAACAGTTGACTAATGTTTCTGTCAGTTCTTCTATTTCTCAGTTGATGAATATATTTTGTATGTAGAAACTTTCTGATATAAATTATGTAGATATCGCTATAGTCATATTAGCGTATACTGGAGATATTAGGGATATATGAACATAAAGGTATATGCGCTATATCACCTATATCTTCAACATTTACCTGATCCCCTGTACATCGCACCTTTTTGTAAACCTATATCGTTTATATTATTGACAACATCAAATTAGTCGGAGTGCGTATACAGTCGAACCATATGGAAACCGCTACTAAATAACTTATCAATTCGTTGGGTCTTCGGTAGCATTTTGCACCCAGTCCAACCAACTACCCAGCCGCGATTGGGTCTCCTGCATCCTGAGTTTATATCTGCTATATGAATCCTTCATTGGTGTTTCTGTGATGGTCATAGAGGACCTTATATGGTGATTAGATGAATTTTCCGATCCAACCCAGCCCAACCCGAGAAAAATGCAGGCTAGATTTTCATATTCTTTTCATATAAAAATGAACTTCCTGATCCAACCCAACCCAACCCAACCCAACCCGAAAATACATACACTTCATCACTGTATTCTTTGTAATTTAAAATATATTGACTACGCTTATTTCTGGAAACAATGCTTTAAATTTCCATGAAATTTTCCATAGCCTTTTTATTTGAATTTTCTGGAAATAGGAACTTACCATGTTATAAGAACTTTCGTTAAGCTGGCTCATTTTCTACGAATGGGAAGTACGTGTAACAAGGCCCAGACATATAGCAAAGGCAAAATGGCGATTGTCCTATACCTCATGGATATTATCGAAGTTAGAATAAATGCTGTTTATTTTCGAAGTCTTCTATCATTTTGATCAGTTTCCAAAGTACACGATCATCTTCTCCGTATGTCTATTCGTATCTCTCTTCATATCTATAGGAGGAAAATCATGCATATTATTGAAATAATTCATTTAGTATTACTGGTTTGGTTCCTAAGAAAAGACATTTCGTGAAAGAATTGCTACCCAGTTCGACAAGACTCCTAATAAAACAGTGCTTTAAACAGAGATGCGCAAATTCACGTACAAATTATACTCTAAAAACAACATGTTCTAATGAATGCACTCAAAATTTAAGAATTAGTGCTCTCAGTGCCTCTAATATACTGGCATGTACTGGGTCAAAAAACCTAGAATTGCTTGGCATGTACCATCATTTACTCTTATATACTATCGGGTGTGGGTGTTGATTGCCGCCCCTGTCTGAGAGAATATCCGTATCCTACACTCACATCCACGCCCGACAGTACATGACAGTACATATCAAGTAATTCTAGGTTTTTTGATCCAATACATGATAGTATACTATCATGTATTGGGTCAAAAAGCGGCATGTTGTTTTCGGAGTACAATTTGTACTTGTATTTGCGCAGCCCTCTAATGGTTTTATTTTCTATAGTGAACTCTGTACTCTGCTTTTCTATGGATAAATTTCTAAATTTCTTTCATTGGACCTCTTCCTATTTCTGTCCATCCAGTAATTTGAGTTTGTGTTTTTGAGAAATATCTCAAACGAAATGCATAACCAAGAATTATGCTCCGATGTAGGGCATATTCTACCATGGGAGCTAATATTACAGAAACTATCGGTTAGCTCAAATGAATGTTAAAATGAATATGAAGGATCTATTTTACTTGTTGACGTTGTAGTTGTGACGGAAGTTGTCGTTGTTGTCACTGATGTGGTAGTTGTAGCCGACGTTGAGCCTGTACAATTCACTTCGCATTGATTCTCTTATGAGTAAAAAGTTTCTTACTTGTGCTTGTTGTCGAAGTACTCGTAGTAGAAGTCGAGGAAGTTGCTGTTGTAGCTGAAAACAATGACTAATGATATAATCTTGAAAGCAACAAGTGACTTCTATTCTTAACTAGAGAAGTGACAAAGCCATTTAAACGATAGACTTCATTCTCGGAGATCTGTAGTATTAAACTGATGACTAAGAGCGAAATGATTAACTATTATCGCACATAAACTATACTGACAATGAGCAAATGATATTGAAAAGTTTTAGAACAAGGTGTTCGTTTTAAATCTGTAATTAATAAACTGACTCGTGGGTGCGAGTGTGAGTGAATGTGTCGATGGATAGATGATGATTTTTCTTTGTTATCACCTACCCACTCACAATCTCTTCTCATCAATGGACATTACTCGATAGAGTTATATATAGGCCAAGTATTCATGGATATTGAGTTGAATCGCAAAACTATATACACAAAGAAAAACACAGAAAAAACGTCTTTCAAGAAAGTAGTGGATGTCCCTTGAATTCATCCAGTTTCTATTTGTCTAAAAACATCTTCAAATCATGGCATTGTTGAATTATGCTTAGAGTTTTTAGAGGATCACGTCGAATGAACGATGATATACGTTGGATGCAAACTGTTCTTGAAGTTAACAGTAGATGTTATTGTAGAAGTAGCTGCTCGTAAAAATTGAAATTAGTTCATTAACTTTCGTTACAAGTTTGAAAATTCAAGGAAAAAATCGCATAGATTAGATTTTGAATAAATAGAGGAGCTACTATTTTGTAGCATGTTTGTTTGTTTTTCAGTTTCAACTCGATTCGAACTCGATATCGTATACGTGTACAAAACTGCTCGTTCATGTAATGATTTCTTACTTGTTGCGCTTGTTGTTGTTGTTGTCGTCGCAGTAGTAGCTGTTGTTGATGTACTTGTTGTTGTCGATGTAGGCGTACCCGTTGATCCTGTTTTTATCAAATCTTGTATCAGAGAGCAAACTATATTAATAAAAAACGTACTTAACAATAGGCCAAGTACGAGAGCTGTGATTCCACCCAGGATGAGAATAGTTGCTGCTACCAAGGCAAACATGCCCCATGGCTTGTGGAAAATATTTCGCCTGTAATACAAAAGAGCAAAAAATATTTTGTTAATGTAACATTGTCATAAAGTGATCTTCCGTCATCTGCTTACGTAAAAAAAAAGATGTGTCCCTTCCGTTTTTTACAGAAAAGCACTATGCATGGTCTGGAATATAATGGCAGTCAAGCAACAACCCAAGTCTGTATCAAGAACTTCTTGAAACTTGGCAAAATCAACATTAAAGTTAGTTTATGTTGTTCGCTGAATTCAACATTGCTTGTAGTGGTGTTATTTCTTATTCCTTATAAGCTCATACGTGAATATTCGTTTACCTTTTTGAGACGAGGATATCTTTTTATTATGGTTTTGTGTGGCAACGGCTGACGAATGATGAAGCCCCAAAAAAGGATTTATTCGCCAGAAAATCTGAATTTTCAGCGTCGCATTACAGTGACATTACTGTTCATTATAAATCCAATATATCCCTTCAACACATTTGATAAATTTCATCTATGCGAATGAAGTTAGGCTGGAAAAAGAACATTGAAGTGTCATAAGATAAACTAGCTTGCAAATACAATGACGAATTATTCATAAAGAAAATTGACGAAAGGAAATTGCAACTTAACTATCGGTTTTGGAATATCGCATGGTAAATAGATTCTGTCCGGTATGAAATCCTCTGATTCTGATTCGGATGATGCACATTTGTAAACCCTGACAAAACCGAGTTCGGAGCCAATCCAACGAACTCGAATGGTTTTACATGCAAAGCACACATATAATAACGTTTTCAAAAACTGGTTTACAATGAAAACTATTTTCTCTCTTCCTCTCTATGTGAGATGAAAACCAAATCGCTTATATTAGATTATTAATATTCCTGCGTCTGTGTTTCTAGGTCATTCGATTAATGGCCTCCATCATCTCTGTAAAGGCGTTCATCAAGGCCTATGGAAAATTCTATCATTTTGATTTTCATTAAAACATTACAATACTTCAAAAACTCACGACCTCGGTCTGTGAAATACCCTTTCTGCAAGAACTGGCGAGCTACTTTTAGTTAGTTGGACATTAATTTTCCACTCTAAAGTAGTTCGGCGATCTTCTCATTGACGAATATCCAAGACATGTAGCATGGCTATTTTTTATTAGCAACTTACATGATTGATGTTCCTTGGTTCTCTAAGACGTTTTTCTTCTCTTGGAGAACACGCACGTTAGACCGCAGCATTCTATTCTGACGGCTATTATTTTGAATCAGAGGTGTATCCTAAAACAAAAGGCATTCAGAAGAATCATATTTCGTTTGTTTTATTACTCACCGCTGAAAGTCTGATATCAACACTGTTTACATTAAGTTGTGGTTGGCTATCTGTTTTGGGCACGGTTTTATTCCTACGATTGCTTCCAATGGACACACTTTGCTCTTTCTTCACTTCGGTATCAACCGTCATTGTAACTTCAGTCGGTCTTACATGATTTTTTCGTGTATAACGCACACTAATATAATCACTCGCTGGTTGTTTTCTTTTCCCATTGACTGCTATATCGCCCATAGTCTGACATGTGAAGAGATCGCGCTTTGAAGCACCACTAATGGTAGCGTGACCTTGCGCCGTTAAATAATCTTGATTGTTCTTTTGTATCTCTTCTTTGTGAGTGAAGAAAAACTCAAGTCCATTTGGGTTAATATGAGTGACACTGATTTGATTTCCAGTAAGTTGCTCTGAATTTCTTTCTCTACTACTGTTGCTCTCGATCGTAGGAGGAATGGAGGAATCCTGTTTCACACCATCAACTACAGTAACATGACCTTTAGCTGTTAAATAGTCAATTTTTTTCTTCTGCATGTCAATCTGGTGATGTGAAGGCTGAAATTCAGGTTGGCTAATATGGCTGACTTGAATATTATTTTGATATGACTGCTGTGCTTCTTTATGTAAGATTTGATTGCATTTGTTCCTGGTTAACATTGAGAGATCATCCTTAGAAGTGTGATGAATATTAACATGACCGTGTGCGGTTAAATACTCTTGATTCTTCTTTCGTACCTCTTCTTTGTAGATGGAGAAAAACTCAAGTCCATCTGGATTAATGTGAGTAACACTGACTTGCTTTTCAGCTGGTTGCTGTGATTCTCTTCCTCTACTGTTGTTGTTCTTGATCGTAGGAGAAATGGAAGAGTCCTTTCTTGCACCACCATTCACGGTAACATGGCTTTGAGCTGTTAAATAGTCGCTATGTCTCTTCCGTGTGTCAATCTTGTGGGGAGAAGGACGAAGTTCAGTTTGACTCACATGACTGATTCGAATATTATTTTGAGTAGATTGCTGAGCTTCTTTCTTTATGATCGTAGTATAGTTGTCGCCAGCAATGATCGGAAGATCATCCTTTGAAACGCGATTAACATTAACATGACGCTGTGTAGTCAAATACTCTTGATTTCTCTTTTGCGTCTCTTTTTCATAGATAGGCGAGAGCTGAAGTTCATCTGGATTATTGTGAGTAATACTGACTGCGTTTTCAGCGAGTTGCTGTTGTTCACTTTCGCTGCTGTTGTTGCTCTTAAGCAAGGAAGAAATGGGAGCGTCCTTTTTCGCCCCACCATTTACGGTAACATGGCCTTGGGCTGTCAAATAGTCACTTTTTCTTTTGCGCGTATCAATCTTGTGAGGAGAAGACTGAAGTTCAGTTTGGTTCCCATGACTGACTCGAATGTTATTTTGAGAGAGCTGTTGTGCTTCTTTCCGTACGGTTGGACTGTAGTTGTCGCTAGAAACGATCGAAAGATCATCCTTCGATACATGAACTACATTAGCATGTCCTTGTGAAGTCGAATTGTCCTGATTTTTCTTAGAGTTTTCGATTTTGTGTAGAGAAGGAGATTTATGTTTGTTTGAAAGGATATGCGTCACACTGCCCTGGCACTGTCTGGGTGACTGTTGTTTTCCTTCTTCTATTTTAATGGAATTGCTGCTCCAAGAGATCGAGATATCGTCACTGGTGGGATGATCGACTGTGGCGTGGTCATGTGCAGTCAAATAGTCTTTATTTCTCTTCCGTATTCGGCTTACGATATTCTGTGGTCGAGGTTTAATTTGACTAATGCGGGTAACACTGACTGGATTCATAGGATTGGAATCGTTGATTGGTGCTTCATGAGCGGAGTTGGTGCTACTTTCGGTTGATAACGATTGACTTTCTCGTTGTGATTTGATGAGAGGCTCGAACAATGAGGTGAAACTCTGAGATCGGTCCATTTTCTACTGTACGGCGTGAGAAAATTTGCATTCGATCCTCAACGTTACTTTTCGGTCTCTGATATGATTTTTTTCATTACTGCATTATGGTTTCTTTTTCATCGTCAAAATAGGTGCGAAGAGACAAGTAATTAAAACAAAGAATAATCTCGTGTTTGTTTGAAGAAGAAAAAAATAATAATTGAAAGAGGCCTGCTTGAAGCGTTTTCAATCTTATAGTATAAACATGCAGCTAATAAAACTACTGCTTTGCAGGCTGTATTTTTATTCAATGATTGTTGATGCCTTACTTGAATGAATATGAAAAATAAAAGTCAGTTGCATTGTTGTGTCTGAAGTTAACGTTTGTTTCTGGAGAAGAAATTCAAGCCGATAGAGAATGAATGTAGAATATATTTTAATGTTTTTTATTGCCTTGCATAGTTTGACGATGTATAAACGAGTTTATGAGTTTAGTTTCTAATTGTGGCAAGTGAACTGTACATATATTGATTAGTAATTTAAATAATGTTTTAGTCAAACACCCATTTAAATGTGTACTATCGATGAATTTCTACCACTGAATTAATACGAAATATTTAGGACACATATGAATTCAGTTCATAAACGTCTTCCGTTATCGTTTTGACCGATACTATTTGATCGGTTAGAAGTTCGACTCAGAAGAACACTGCAGTGATCGAAACTATCGAGAAAACCTTCATTCGACTTGGATTGGACTCGATTCGATGTGGCTTATACTTTTACAGAAGAAGGATATTCTCATTTTCCAACATACTACGGATTACCTACTTATTAATGTTTTCTTTTCAACAAGCTACTTATTGTTTCTATTTTTTCATTCATGTTACTTTTTTCTATATCTAATCTATTCATAAATATTCAAATATTATTTATTTGTTTAACAAAAAGTACAATGGAAAGTACATTTTAGAGAATTAAATTATTAATAAACATTTGATATAATAGAGGGTCCGTGTGACTGCGGAGAATAAGAGTGAAAACACCCAGCGACATCCACACACTCATGTCTACTGAAACTGACAAGATTGAGTCATTTTCGATGTAACTTAATAATGTTGATATGTTTGAGCCGCATGTTCTAATCACAGTGCCCAAATCAGCTCCCATTATGGTATAAATTTTCATTATAGATGGCGCTGCAACAATTTTTATTAGTAACTTGTACTTTGAAACAGTTTTTGTCTTGATTCATTTTAATTTAGACAGAGGCACTCTCTGTAATCATTCATAGATAGAATTGAAAGTCGTAAGCACTATCTATAACATTCCCGATTGAATTTATTGCTCACACATGATGTTTAACCTTTCTTTTGTCATTTCTTTTTATTATATGTGTTGTTCTTCCTTTGTGATTTCTTTTCATTATATGTTTTATCCTTCCTTTCATCCTAACTATGTATCATTGAATACATCTCTATCCTTGATTCTTTCTCTCTCTCTCTTTCGCTTTTACGTTCTTTTTCTTTTCGCCTCGAGTTGCATATAAAAACGCATGTTGATGTGTGAATACGAGAGCGATTGATGAAATGAAGAAAATATAACTTCATCCAGACTAATACCTCTATCAGAGATTGCTACACTCTCGTCGGTAAGTCGTCGGTATACCGCCGTTTCCTATCAGTACCGCGGCGTACCGGCGGTAATGCGGACAAAAGTGTCACATGAGTTATCTATTAGTCAATGGTTATTCAGATAGAATAATGACATCTGTCGTTTAGTAAA